CTTAAGCTGGTTCTCTGAGAACAGGGATCGATGGCGCTTCGGTAATAAGGAGACAGTTGGTTTCGCCTAACTTGTAGCGTACTTTATTTCACCTTATGAGTACGTCTATACGCGTGGGAGGCTGATCTTAGACTGAGGGAGAGACTAGTGGTTTACGTAGCAACGTCTAGTAATTAAATTGTAGGTAGCGCTGTGGGCCGCTTGTACGGGCGTACGCCACACTATCCTAGCGGGCGCTTGCCTTAGACGTTGGGATATCGGTAGGAACGTTGTATATACATATACAAATTGAGGCGGATCGGTCACTTGCAGGGAGAGGAGCCATCTGTTGGCGGGTCTGGAGGTAGCCGCCACAATGTCAATAATATTTTTTACAGGTGAAGGCGTAGAGGACATAGAATTTGTTTTTCATTGTAGTTCATATGTCGTGAACTTAAATGACCTTCATTTCTAGGTCATTGTACTCGCCTTTAAAGGCTTTATCAGAATGTAAATAAAAAATTGGGTCATCCCATTTAAAAAACAAGTTTGACCTTCGTATGTTCTCTATGCCTTCATCTATAAAAAAAATTGTTGACATCCTATAATGTGTCCCTCAAAATCAAACAACTTTTTTTTACACCTTTTTTCTATTGTCAAAAACAAGCGAATTATTCAGGTATCTCGTTTCAAGTGCTCCACCCTGTAGAATAGGAAAGTAATGGAAATTGTCTGGAAACGAATGATACTGCAAAAAATTTTCCAACACATTTTGGAAAAAAGCAGGATACAACGGGAACGCGTAATAAGAAGGAAGGTGTATAAAACCACAAGGAAGGTGAATATACCAACTAAACGTTTCCACCTAAACGTCTCCGTCAATAGTGATGTTACAAAAACTGGTCTTATTTATCAATTTTTCTTAAAATTCGCAAGGACATAGATGTTAATTTGGATATAATACATATATATTTTCCATTGCATCGGGTAGCTCACGTTAAAATGTCTATTGTTTTGACCTTGAAATAACCTTTGACTTCAAACATTAAAATGAAACGTAAAAATATCGAATCTAATTCTAAAATCATTAATTAAATCTAGGTATCTATTAACAGTCTATTTACCCAATTAACTACCGTTATTTATTCTAATAATCCTTTTAAATTCGAAGATTAACAGTTGAAATTTTTTTTTTAAATTATGTAAAAGCGACAATAATTTCGTCCATCATCCAAGAATTGATTTGATTTTATATAACAATTTCCTTCGAGGTTATTATTTGAATTAAAAACTATCGAAATTCTTTTAGGTAGAACTCAGTTATTAAATAACCTTTATTAATTGTCAGCAATTGTATAGTTACATGTTTTCGGAGTGCAAATTATCTGCAGTAAGTAATTTTCTTTTGCCTAAGGGACATATAAAAGTCAACTTTGTTTTTTCTTTAAATGGAATTGTATATATTTTAGTAAACCATTCGATGGAGCTTGATTTTCTTCATAAAAATATTAAATTATTACTTAATCCAAAGAATCATTAACTATTTCAGGATGAATATTGAATACGACATCAGTTAAAACATATTGTTTGATTGTGTACGTGCCAAAATGTCAGGATGTATTGTTCATTTTTCTCATTATTTCAATTTTTAATACATAACCAAATCCTTTGGAGACAATGTTCTTAGTATTTTAAGGAATCCTACTTCCTTAAGGGCGAATTTTCATCTAAGAAACCATTTGTTAAGAAACCATCAGTTTCTGAACAGCGATGGTTTCATGTATCAATGTTGATAATTTCCTATCAGTGATAGTTTCCTAGCAAGATTCAAATTAAAATACAGTAGAGCCTCCCTCATCTGAACGCTTACTTTTATAATATCTTGATACCAAAACATTTTATTATCTAAAAATTTAATTCCAGTTGTCTACTAGGTGATAATGTATCC